TATATTTATTATTATATTTAATTATATTAATTATTATATTATTATTAATATAATAAATATAAGTATATAGATACAATATAATATATAATATATTATAAAATAATAATTACAATATCATATTATAAAATAATTATAAAGATTATAATAATATCATATTATTGGATAAAATAATAATATTAGAGTTATTAATATATTTATGATATTATTTATTACAATATTACTATTATATTATATTATATTACGAGTTTGAATTTTAGATTGGGAAGATTATAAATTTTAAATTTCATTAGAGGTATTATGGGTATTATAAAAGTTTGATTAATTGTACTATGTTGATTCCTGCACAATCTAAAAGCTAATGTTGTCTTTAGGCTGCTTCTGATTTTGGCTGTAGATTCATAAAAAATTCTTCAAAAAGCACTTTTAAGAAGATTTATCAAACACAAAAATCAACTTCTGCTACAAGCAGAAGCTAATTTTAGGATGGAAAAGCAATACTAAATTAAGCCTTTAAATTCTCCAGAATTTGATTTGCCCTAATAGCTGGAATTAATTGCTACTATATTTAAAAAGTTAGAATTATAATTGCTTAGGGAAAAAATAGAGACAAAAATTTCCAATCACGAAAATTCAAGGCAAATGCTAAAAAATTTTAGAAAAAAAAAAAATCAACTAAAAATAATGTTATTTTGGGGTCAATCTATGACGTTACATTTAAATCTATCCTTATCCTTCTCAGTTCTCACAATGACTCGCTCAATGGCTTTGCTTCTTACCAAATTAAGCCTCATTTCATATTTACAAAGCTCACACACTTACACATGGGAGTCCCCTCCATGTTCCTCTCTTTTTAGTGACTCAAACTAAACCAAGCAAAAAAATAAATAAATCATTGAATAAAAAGGAGCGAATTAACACCCAAAAAAAAAAAAAAATTATACATAAAGCTGAAATCAAACATTTTAATGGTGAGGAACATTCTAAATTTTTTTTTTAATTAGTTTCACCTAACATTGTAAGTGTCTACAATATATCAACAAAATTACATTAATATTCTTCTTTTGATTCTTTTCTCCCAGTTTAATTTACAAAACATTTGCACTCAGTTTCTTTTCTTTGCTCTCTCTTATTTTTCTTCCCCCCTTTTTCATGTTCCTTCTTCAATATCCATGCAAAAAGCCAAGGCCGGAAAACCCCACTCTCCGGCGACCCGCCTAAAAATCAAAGACAATGCCGCCGACGTCCTCGAGCTACCCTCCGCCTCCGTCGCCGCCGCAAACCTTCCACTCTCCGCCGATAACCATCGTCCTAACCGTCGTCCTGCTCGTCTTCTTCCTCATCGGCTTCTTCTCCATCTACTTCTGCCGGTGCTTCATGGCAGCCATCCTCCACACGTGGCACCTCCGCCGAACCCCCTCCGGCCACATCATCCGCGACGCAATAAACGGCGACGTAGCCCCGCGGCCCAGCGGCAGTTCCGCCACCGGCCTCGATCCGAGGCTCATAAAATCATTCCCAACTCTCGTCTACTCAAGCATCAAACAGGTCCGCAAAGAGAATCAGTACGGCCTGGAATGCGCAATCTGCCTCGTCGAATTCGAAGACGATAGCCTGCTCCGTCTCCTCACGCCGTGTTACCACGTCTTCCACCAGGAATGCGTCGATCTCTGGCTTGAATCCCACAAGACCTGCCCGGTCTGCCGCCAGGACCTCGCTTCCCCGCCTGATCAGCCGCCTTCACAATTAACACCTTTCACAAACAACGTTAACGGCAATATCGGCGACAACGACAATAACATCGTCGTCATCGATGTCGTCGACGACGACGCGGTCACCATCGACGTGAAAGGTGAAAATTATGATCTTCATGATCGACAGCGCGGAAATACTTCAAAACGATCAGAGCGCGTTAATGATCATGTTATGGAGAGGTTTCCAAGGTCGCATTCGACGGGGCATTCGATAGCGAGAGTGAGATCGAGATCGGAGGAGGAAGATTGTCACCAGGACAGGTACAGGCTGAGGTTGCCGGAGCATGTGAAGATGAAGCTTTTGCGAGGGCATCACTGGACCGGAAGTTGCGAGACTTATGGCGAGTTTCAGCGCCATAGATGCGGTACTAGTTCTTATTGTACGGCCGGCGGCCGCCGATTTGGCGAGGTTTCTGGATCAGATCATTAGCATAGTTTAAGGTTAATTAATTATTTATTTTTATGTGTATGCTTTTCTTAAATTTCATGTTTAATTTTCTGGTTAATTTTTGGGTTCCATACGGAAAGGAGAGCATATATATGTGTAAGGTAAGAGATTGCTGTCATTTTGCATACTTGTAGATTTTGGTTACTTTTACCCAAAAAAAAAAAAAAGATTAAAGTTTAAGATTATAATCAGTACTCTTCCGAAGCTTTTAATGAAATACAGAAATTGTATTTATAGATGATTAGTGGTACATTAATTGCTGAGTTAAATTTTGTCTCAATTTATTTATGTATTTCGCTTTTCTTCTAGCGAGTTTCTGTTTTGAGTTCAACATGGTAAAACTTTTAGAAAGACGAGTTTGAGTCTTGAGAGGCTAATCCTATGAAGATATATTTTGAAGGTTAAAAACAAATAATTAATGTGATCTGAGCTTTGCTCATGATTACTATTGATTTCTAACATTTACTCTAAATATGATGAAAACAAGTAATAACAGTTGAATTATTAATCATTCAAAAAAAAAAAGAAAAAAAAAAACAGTTCAATTATTAATCATTCAAAAAAAAAAAAAAAAAAAAGAAAAACCAGTTCAATTATTAGCACTATGGTACTTCTCGACCAAACTCTTTTGATATAAGTTATGTTCCATCGGTTCAATTATCACTCGTTTGTCGTACTTTTGGAATCCAACCCCTCTCCAAAAAACCAACATGTTGACAGATATGAGTAGTAATATGTAATGCGCATGAGAAATCGACTGAAAAAACAGTGAGTTGATTATCACTAGTAAACTGAACTTTCTCAACAAAACATTTCAACACAACATATATGTGCCACAACTTATAATATAAGGATAGAGGCGGGTGTATTCATATAATTCTCAAAAAATGAGGTATCTCCGAGTTATGTATGAATCCATGTAAATTTGTCTATACATGTCTTAACATATATGGAACTGACTCAAGCTCAAAACTTTATCGAGAAAATATCCAATCAGAATTACACAATCAAATATTCATGATTTACGTTTGTAGTTAGTTCCTTTATATAAGGTTACTTGCAATTTACACAACATTCGTTCATTTTTTTTTTTTTTTTTTGAATCAACCTTCCTTCTGTTTTGCCTTTTATTATTTTATTGGATTGATAAGAAATTTCAAAATCCAAAAATAAAATAATTTGGCAGCGGAATATGATAAGAAAATCTGGATAAAATTTGTAATCTATTAAAAAAAATTTTGAAAACTCGAAATGAGACTAATTATTTCCCATAGCAACATATTTTCAAACCTAGTTATTTGAAGGGTTGGGCATTGGACGAAAACAATACTTTTTATAAATCTTTATTTATCCTACCATCCATCTAATCCCTAACTAAAATAAAAACAATCGAGCATTCAATTAGATTGGATCGGCTAGATACAATTATAGTGTCTCAAAATGTACTCAAAAGTCCATTTGAGTCACCATCGAAGTAATAAAAAATAAAAATAAAAAAAAAGAACAAATAGGAAAAACAACTCATTAGTACAATTTTTGTCCAAATCAAACCACCGAAAAATTAACGTAAAACCAACCGAAACCATCATGGTGGTGTTGAGTATAGTTAGGATTTTGAAACATATAAAAAGAACGCAGTCATTTGCAATTTTACAAAAACAAAAAAAAAAAAAAAAAAAAAAAAAAAAAAAAAAAAAAAAAGGGACCGAGTCCCAGACCGGTGTCATGATCGGGTCGGGCTAGATGGTAACCAACCTGGATCAGGGATCATGGTCAAGGTTAAGTCAAAATTGTATCAGGTTATTAACTTCTTTAATATGTTATGGCACCAAACACGGTATATAACACGACTTCTTCTTTTCTTTTTATGGATGAATTCTGCATATTTTTCATCTACAATTAACTACTTTAAATACAATACATCTTACATAATATAATACAAGTTACCAAACAGGCAAACATGACCTATGACCTATGTGTGTATCTTTGTATAAGTTGGATCGGTTCAAATCCGACAATCAATTCAATCCAATCGGATGTGAGAATTATCATCAAAATATATCGTCATCTGTACCATTTTCATGTGGAAAATATAAATTAAGCTTAAATTTTTCCACAAAATTCATATATTCAAATGTTGATTCTTTGAAAGTGGAAAGGTGGGTGAATTCTGCATATTTTTATACTTTAGTTTTTATACCATCTGTACCATCTCAAAATCTTAAACTATTAACAAATGAACCAACAATTTTTATACTTTAACACTTTCCTTCACGTGTGGACTGGACAATAGACAATCATGTGAGTAAATTAATTAAAAAACCCAACACGTAAATATTTAAACCTGAGACATATTAAAAACCCAACACATGATGACAATTTAAATGGGAATAAAGAGTGCAATTACGAGAATTTGAACTCAAAACCACCCTTTCTGATACTATATTAGTTTACCAAATCCATCCTAAAAACTTAAACTATTAAAAGGTGAACTAACAATAGTTTTAATACTTAACCGTCTTCTTCACCTTACCAATTCTTTAGCAGGAGACACCCATTTATCTATTTGTAGTCATATATGCTCCATGACGGCCATCTCTAGCATGTAGTGACGCTACAGAAGTAAATACAAGCATAATAATTATATTTAAAAATAAAAATAAAAATAAACCTTCCGAAGCGGATAACATAGATTTGCATATAAAATATGGCACCTCAACTTGAACAACCACTGCACAATTGCATGGTCCCTTTGAAGCAAGATGAAAAATTCATGCTTCATATAATAAAAATAAAAAAAAATAAAAAAAAAAACAGTTACATGATCCCGTCATATCATACAGAGACGTACTAAGTTTCTAACAAGTTTGGAGAATACTCGGGGGTTACCATAGTTCGTTTCAGCATTTGCATGTCAGTGTTCACAGTTCTATTCGATGTCATCGATCCAATCACCATATATCCTACTGATTTTGTCCGGACCTTTCCATTTCTGATTTGCTCTCTGCCCCGGCCTCTGAATTACAATAGATGACCTTTGTGATGGAACTCCTATATGATAAACATCCGAATGTGGAACTGAAGGAACCGATGCAACCACGGTGTCTGCTGGAGTTTTTGGAGGAACTCCACCTGGCGGCTTACTCTCAGCAGGAACTGAAGAAGAGTCCCTAGCTTCTGTCTCGACAAGCCCACCACCATATCGGTGTAATTCTGTAGTCAGAAATATATAGAACTTATGTAGGAAGCAGAACAATTCATAAAAATAATGCAATTTTACGAATAAGCATAGCGAAGACAGTTTCAAAGAGAGCATAATGTTCTTAGAACTTACGGAACACCGCCAAACATTTTACTAGCTACACGTAAAACATCGCATGACCTTACACAAAGGCATTCATACCAATTTCTGTAAGTCACTTCTTAGCTGACAAACTAAAGGAAAAATATAATCCTCAATAAAAAGCTGTAGCCAGCCCAAAATCTTGATTCTTGAGATGTAGATTTATTCCTGATTCCATTATAGCCTCGATAAAGCTTTATGCCTTAAAAGATCTACACTAAGCAAGACCATGTCTCGCTTTTGGATGATCAACTTTCCTTAAAGTCTACTTTCCACAAACTCAATAGCATTTGTTTACTAGCTCAACTAGGAGAATTCGAGAAGATAGGATTTGGAAGCTTAAATGGCTTGCTATTGCCTAATGTAAAGAGCATTTTGTGTGGCTGGAGGCATAGACAGAAGCAAAATCTTCTATTCAAAATTAGGAATTTAGGAGTATAAATATGAAAATTCACTGACTGGGTGTGTCTGCTGTATATAAAAACCGTCTTACTTTTCCTCAATATAGGAAAGGCCTTTACAGACTTGATTAATTTCTATATTAGGCTTGTGTCTCGATTAAATTTAGCTTATCTCTTCCCGTTTTGTATCATTAACAAGCTAGCTATATTATAACCAAAGAGAACAAGTGAAAAAAAAAAAAAAAAAAAAATCGCCTAAATTCTCATGAATAACTATGCATTGACATGCTTAAAACCATAAATGTTTCAAAATCAATCTGCCAAAGGAGAAAGATCTCTGACATCCACACGTAATTATTGCAATGACGAGAGAATTTCTTTTCCAGATATTTCAGTTCAAGACTTAACATTTGAGGACCTTGGCTTGAGTTATAATGTTTAGTCTTGTTGTCTAATGCACCGCCAAAAGCTCCAACAACTTTGAAATACAAAGAAAGAGACAGATACACATACACCAATCATCAAGCTAATGCATATTTGAATTTACCATATATACAAGAAAACGAAAGAGTCCAACATTTACAAGTTCCAATGCAAGATCACGCCAGTAAAAATTCCTCAAGAAAAATTGCAGAAACAGAGCATTGAAAATGTGTCACCTCCACGAGGAGGTGAAAATAAGTCGTCAAAATCAATCAGAAGGCCAAAAGTAATCACAGGCATTTTCATCCGTGTTAATCATGATCACAAATAGTAATTGCCGGTCCTAAATATACTTCAGCATACATGAAACGCAATCAAGGGCGGTACAGATACATCAATGCTAGACAAGTGTCTAATAACGAAGATAAAACCATACTTGAGCAGTTTCCTACATTTGAAAGAACTTTTTCGGTGAAGAAAAGTTACAACACTTCAATTCACTAAGGCATGAAAAACCAAGGCAACAAGAAAAGTTACAAACCGAATCGAAAACCTGTGCGAAAATTCAAGATTCCATTACATGTACGACAATATCGTTCAGCACACTAAGAGAAGTTACAAAATGAACCGAAAACCTATGCCAAGATTCAAGATTCCATTAAATAGGAAGACACAATAATATTGTTCATCACACTATAAGAAGCACAATTACTTTCTAAAAAAGGCTTAAAAAAGATATCATACTTACCAGCGGCACCATGAGCAAAATGGCATTTGCTTCCAAATGGGCAATACCCCGTCAACTCCCACTTGTTGCAAATCCTCGTCTTCCAATTCGACGGCTTGCTGTTGCTATTCGCCCCGCTTGGCGTACCTCCTCCTCCGCCTCCGCCTCCGCCTCCACCTCCGCCGCCTCCTCCTCCGCCGCCATACCCTCCGGGCCCCAAGCTTATTGCCACGCTCTCCCGATTCTTGGACTGCTCATCATGAAGGAAAGTGCAATTGTCCCCATAAGGACACCCCTCCTCGGTATAAAACTTCTTGCAATGCCTTCCTTTATAAGACCTCTGAGTCTCCACCACAAAGCTCGAAGACCCAACTGAGGGAATTTGAAACTCCTCCCTCGGCTCCGAAGACACCGCTCTTTCCTCCTCGTGTGCCGCCACAATCTCCTGCCAATTGGCGGGCGGTCTCCTGAGCTCCTCAATGCTATGAGCAAAGTTACAATTTGTGATGTACGGACATGTCCCAGCCCGGAACTTACAACACAATTTGGTCTTGAAAAACATCTTTCCAATGGCTTTGGACCGGTTGTTAGAGGAAGTTACATCCTGGGAGTTCTTAGATTTCTTGTTGGGAGGCTCACTTCCCGAGCGAGATTGGGACTGTCTTTGGTCAAAATTTGAGTTGGTAAATGTATCACCAGAAAACTCACTGTTGTTCCAAGCTCTGTAGTCATCTTCAGTAGCCCAAACCGCTTGGTCACTTGACCAATTCTCACTGCCACTACCGGTAATCACCTGAACCACGTTTTCACGCCCATAATCCATTGAACAAAGGAGAAATCAAGAAAACCAAAACCCTAAGCTCTTCAATGGGAAATATAAAAAATACCCAGATGGAGAAATCTCCAAATCCTCAAAAGAACCGATCAAAATCTGCGGAATTTCATGAATTGGCCAAATGGGTATCCACTAAACTGCCCATCTAAAGATACCAAGATTGTACGGACGAAATGAAATCAACAAGGGAGATCAGAGAGTGTTTAGTTGCAATAATTACATGAGGTGTGAGGAGAAACAAAGAATGAGTTTGTAAAATTAAATTAAAAAGAAAGTTACCAAATTGGAACTGGGCGTTCGATCTACAGGGTCAAAATATCCCAACATTGTGAAAGGGCCCATCTTGGGAATTCTTGGAAAAAAAGGGAAAATTTTGAGGATGTAGGCATATAATAGTGGGAAAAATACGGTTTATAGAGAAAATACATGGGAATTTAAAGGAGATTATTTATGGGATTTGAGATTCAGAGATAGATTTGGTTCAGAGGGTGAGGTCTCCACAGAACCACCCAAAACGAGGAATAGTAGATTTTCCAGCTTGGGTCTCAAATTTGGGATGGAAAGATAATTCATTACTTCTGTACTTTCTTTCTCTGTTGTGTCCATTTCCTAACTTTAATTTTTTAATATTACTTATTTATTATTTTTAGATATTTTCGATAATTCGATTTTAAGACTATCTGGGTGATTAATTTTGGCCTCGTTCATTTTATTGAGTCGAGTTTAGAATTTAAATTTTTTTAGAGTAAAAAGTTCTCACAAATAATCACATCTAATTTTTTTATTACAGTAAAAAGCTCTCAAATAAAGTAACATCTCAACTCAAATTAAAAACTCGAATCAACGAACTAAACGAGTCGTACAATGTCCCTGTGGGAGAGGATTATGTACAAGATTGTCTACCTTTTGTGATGACGTGGCATGACGTTATTGGTTGTGTTGTTAAACTTCATTTCCCTCATTTTAGTTTTTAATTTCAGTTGCGCTCCAATTTAATGAGATGTTTGTTTCAAATATTCGTTTATAGTTCTGAATCATGATTCTTAATTTTCTACAATATTTTTCTCTCATAAAAAATTTAAATTTTAAAAATCAAAATCATGAATCACGGTTTTGAATCTATGAACTAAACGTCCTATAAAAGTTCTTACAAAAAGTCACTTCTAATTTTTTTACTACAGTTAAAAACTCTCACATAAAGTCACATCTCAATTCGAATTAAAAATTCGAATCGACAATGGACTCGTTTAGTTCGCTGATTCGAGTTTTTAAGTCGAATTTATATGTGATTTTATGTGATAGCTTTTTACTGTAGTAAAAAAGTTAGATGTGACTGTTTCTGAGAGCTTTTTACTGTAACAAAACTTAAATTTTAAACTCAAATCGGTAAAATGAACAGAAAATGTGTAAAAAAACTCTTAAGTCGTGGTATTAACCGAAACAAAATATTAAACGGCTCTGTGGAGCTGCAGCTCCTCAGACACATGAGGTGAGTCTGTCGCCCGGGCCCTTGTAAGACTTACATGGGACCCACCCCGTGTGTTTGAGGAGCTAAACGACTCCGCTTAACAATGTTTTAACTAAAAAGGCAGGCTTGAGATAATAGTGTACGTCGTCATAAGATGAGGGGCAACTTTTAAAAATACCCCTTCATAGAGTTTTTTTTTAATTTTTTTCTCTTAACATTAGCCCATAAATTTTTATCTTTTATACTGGAACTAGTAAAAGGTAATTTTTTAAAAAGAGTATTTTTAGTAAGTTAAGTATTTGCGCAGAATCTTCTCTAATATTAGATATCCAAATAAAAGAGTTTAGATTGACGCAGCCCAACGAGATAAAATGGGCCAAATTTAGTAGCCCAACGCTGGAATTGGGCCCATGCTCTGCTCATGCTCTCCATCTCTCCCATAAAACTGCCACGAAAAAGAGGATAAATTGCCGATGAAAAAGAATAAATAGCACCCATACAATCTGAACTTTTTTATCATTTATAAATTAGAACTTTTGGTTTTTATATTTAAGACCCGTTTCACAATCTTAGACAATTCAACTCAATCGGTAACAAACATCAATTAATTGATGGAAATTAGAGTGTGACATGCCAAAGTTTTAAAAAGATTATGATCTAATTTGCTAAGAAACGAAAAGTTGTCGGACATACCAAATTTAAAAAGTTTATAATCTAACTTGCCAACCAACAAAAAATTTCAGGTGTATTCTAATTAGGGCTGTAAGATTTCGGTCCGAAACCCGACTAACCCGCCCTACTCGACCCGACCCTAGCCGAAATCGTAGTTTTTATTATTTTTTATTTTTTTCGGATTAAAATAGCCCCAACCCGCACTATGTGGGTTAGGGGGCGGGGCGGGCATCATGTGACCCGATACACCCCGACCCAGCCGTGTGAAGATGGAGGGTGTTAAAAGAAACCCTAAATCCCTAATCACTTTCACTTTTCAGTTCTCTCTCACTTCTCACTCCCTCGCCACCACCTCAATTCTCACTTCTCCATTCTCAGTTATTCTTCTCACTTCTCAGTCTCGCTTCCCCTCGCCACCGCCTTATTTCTCACTTCTCAATTCTCAGTCTCTCTGTCTCCGACTCTCCGCTCCTCTTCCTTCTCACAGTCGATGTTTGCCGCCTCCGCTTCTTCTTCTTCTTCTTTGTTATTGTATGGTAATTCAAGACGAAGCAGAGAAGAAGAAAAAGCTTTCTTGAGAGGCCAAGTCTCTGCGGAGACGCCCATGGCGAGTTTTTCCGGTAGTGCTTCTCCTGCTACACCTTTCTGGTTCACCCCCATAAGGTGCTTACTTTGCTTTCAATGTGTCATTGTTTGATTCTTTTTCTGTCTTTGTTCATGGGTTTTTGTTTGTTACCCTTTTTGGTTACTGGGAAATTATGGGGAAAGAAATAAGTTTATATATATATATATTAGTTTATTGGGATCTTTTGTATGTTCTCTTATCTGGGTATGGAGAAAATTTGAGATTTTTGGGGAAAGAAATAACTTTGATTTTCTTTGTTTCCTCCGTTTCTACCAAACTGATCAACCCGCAAAACTAAGCCTACCCGAGGTAACCCAAAGGGTTACGGGTTTGTGGGCCAATGGGGGTGTTGCGGCCTAAATTTCCCTCACCCGGACTTGTGCGGTGATAAGTGCATGAATTTGCACTTTTAATAATCATAATTGTCAAATTATTTTATCAAATTTGTGATTTTAATTTCAAATATTCCTAAATCTAGAGGATTTAATTTTAATTAGATTTATTTTATTTTTCAGGTTTTTTGAAGAAAACAATTGGATTTGGGCTAGTTTACCAAGCAAAACCCAAAAGTTGAGCCCAAGAAAAGCCCAATTCGGCCCAAAGCCCATCAGCCGAGAAGCCACGAGCCGAGCCAAGAAGCCGCGAGCCAACCCAGCGCCACGTGTCGACCACTGCCGCACCGCAGTCAGTGGGACCCAGCTATCCCCGCGGATACGCGCACTTGGCGCGCACGGATCTTCTCCCCGGGCAAGTCTCCTCCACGCGCGCGTCACCTGGATTTCCTCTTTCTTCCGCGTGGGTCCCGCGTTCCAGCTTCCCTCCAGCCAGGTCTCACCACGCGTCCCAGGGGGGCCCAGCTGCTCCCCCGTGTACGCGCGCATGTTCCCTCCCTGCGCGAGTTCTCCTCCACGCGCGCGTCCAGTCTCCCTCCGCGTGGTCCAGCTGTGCACCACGTCTCTCATGCGCGCGAATCACGTTACGACATGTGTCCCACTCTTCAGAAACGTGATGGTTTTTCTCTCTCGATTAAGCCTTGTAACTTCTTAATTAGGATCCAGTTTTTAGCTTTTTAGCATTCTCAAAACTCTATAAATAGGGCCATTATCAAGGTGATGAAGTGTGGATTTTTAGAGCCTAAATTCTCATACATTTTCTCTTATTTTCTTGTTCTTATTCTCATACTTTCTTTTTAGAATTTTATGAGAATTATGTGCAAGCTAGGCTAGAGTATTTAGGTGAGGCTAGAGATGATCTTATATGTGTAGTGAACTTATTTGGATTTTTGATTCTCCAATGGTTTGTAAGTTTTATACATTTGAGTAAATAATTTTCTTTTATCATATTTCTTCCTCTTATCAATATATTTTATTGTCAACTTTCATATAAATCTAGTCAAGCTCTTTTTATGTGATTGTTGTATTATATTATATATTGATAGGTATTGTTTTATGAGTAGTCTTTTACTGCATTATTGCCAACGGTATATTGTCGCTCTTAGATTTCTCATAAGATAATTTTTCCTAACTCTAAACGTTAGAATTTTATTTACTCGAATACATTTTTAATTCATATGTTCTTCAAATATTTATTTTCTGATTGTTTGTTTGGGATGTGAAACTTTCAATTGAGTCAATTTATGAATCAAAATCCAAATAGGTGAACAAAGCATATGGAGGATTCTCAAAGCCTTACCACTTTTATTTATTGAATTTTCTCCATTTTAAATTGTTCAAAAAATCATCAAAAACACTCATTCATTTTCTTTGTTTGATTGCTTATTTTCCTAACGCTTTTTATTTGCTAATCATTTCTTGTTCAATTTAACACTTCCTCGTGAGATCGATCGTTCAAATTGTACTACAATTGACCGCTTGTTTTTATACACGTTTGGGCGTAATCATGCGGCTCGGCCTAAATTTCAAGCTCAACCTGAGCCTACCCAGCCGAGTTACACCCCTAATTCTAATAAAGATCTTAGTGCGTTTTTGTTTAATAATTGACGTACGATTTATCAGACCAATGTTTTTATAAATCCTTAACTTCGAGGTCTCATTTGGTAAAATTGAAAGTTCAGGACTCAAATTATCAGATCAAATAAATTCATGTTTCACCAATGCAATTAACACTAAAAAAAATTAGAAAATATATCAAATGGTCATAAGTATCTTTCTAAGCATTTGTCTCTAAACACGATTTCCAGCTTTTATGTCCATAATCCTAGGCATAGATCTACTCTGAAATTATAACCAAACATAACCTAAAAATTTTTATGCTCTCTTTTTTAACCTTTTTGGTAGTGAGACTCCCTTAAGGTAGCGGTAGCAGTAGCAGTAGGTGTGGTAGTGTTGGAATACCTATCTTTGTTAATTTTCGCATTTGCAACCTTATGTTATTTGGTAATAATTTGGTTTCAATGCTACGCTACTCATGTTAAAATGTTGCCGTAACTCAAACGCGCCATTTCAATAATGTCAGGGCAAAGTGCTATTTTCATAACCTAATTAGAGTATGAAATTTAAGAAGTGTGACACTAAAATCAAAAATTTGAATGTGAGGAGTGGAGAGTGTGGATTTCATAAATAGATGGTAAATTTTATTAAAAGGTAAAAAAGAAAGAGTAATTTATATTTGCTGTATTTTGATATGCTATGTGATATCACCATTTGTAATGAAAATTATCCTTCTTCTTGTTGTTGTCGTTGTTAAAAACATCATAACTGTTTTGTTTTAATTTTGATTGAGATGATTTTTTTCTTATGCGTTCACAACGAAGATACGAATACAACTCTACCCATATATCATATTAAAAATTTCCATCACCATTGAGTTTTTATTAAAATATTATCTAAATATAAATTCAAGATTTTACCCACCCAAACACAAACTCAAATAGCTTATCAATTCAAAGCATAACTCAAAATGTGCACATCTAAACAAAAACTCAAATTAGAGTCCCAGTTCAAACCATATTCAAATACACTTTAACTCAAATTAAGATCTGAACTCAAGTCACTCTAACTCAAAAAATGTAAATGAACAAGCCATACGAATACGAAACAAGAGAATACTTAAAAAAAAAGAGGAAGAAGAATTAAAATTATAATTAGAATTAGAATTCTCATATAGTTCTTTTTTTTTTTTTCTTTCGTTACATTCACAATTCAGGCTTTAAAAAAATGGTATGTAATTGAAGAAAAATTTTCCTTTTGTTTCAAGTGGAAAGATCACAAAACTCAATACAAGCAGCAGCAACAACAACAAAAAAAAAAAAAAAAAGGAAAGATCACAATTTATGTTAGACATTGGGTTGACGCTTCAAAATAGAGCTAGCTTGAGGGTGATTCTCCTTCTCCCATATTATTGATGTACAACAAATGCCCATCCACTTGCAAAGGTTTAGTTGATGACGTGTCTACTCAAATCACCGTCAAAAACATGAAAAACGTCTATGCATTATTTTGTTCAATTTCTTGGGATCCCCTTTGAAAATCCACCATTATTTTGTTCAATTTCTTGTTGCTGATCCTTTGTTGGAAAATCCTCTTATCCTCCTCATAGCTGTTAAGCGCAATAAATAAATAAATAAATAATTAGGCTAGTTTATAAAATTTAACAATTATTGTCTATCTAATTTTGCCTCAAACATTTTTATTAGCAACGGATATATTATGAGAAACGAATTTCTATTTACCAATTGAAAGATAGTTTTAAAAAAGTTGGGATACTCAGACATTCTAGTCAAATTGTTTATTACACGTGAGTCCAAGCTATATATATTTGCAAAAAAAAAAAAAAAAAAAAAAAACCAAGCTATGTATAATCACAAAAAAAAAAAAAGGAAAAACTTGGATTATTGTAATTGAAAATTATTAATGATTTTTAATAACAAACCAAGCTAGTTAAACTATTTTTTAATAAAAATTCAGAAGTTCGAAAATCTCCATGAAAATAGTGAAAAGTAAGGCGTTTAAAAAATAAAAGAAAATAAATGGAAAACAAAGACGTATTTTCAAATTGAAAAAAAAAAAAAAAAAATTGTAGTAACCTTTGAGGTGGTGGAGGAGAAGAAGGGGTCAACTTTCGAGCAAGCTGAAGAGCATCTTCGGGCCGATTGATGACGTGGTTGAAGCACAAATATCGACCGTAGGATGAGACATCTTCGAACGCGCAAATGTGGGCATCCACCAAGAAATTCAAATCGACGGTCACGAACAATCCGTCCTCGTACATCTCAGCCGCTCCTTTTAAATAAGGGTTGCTGATCGACAATTGGGGGCCCATTAATAAGCCTGCGTTGATTGACACCATGCTTAGGCCACGGTCCATTGCTAAGGCCCATGCTGTCTTCTCCGTCAAGGTCTTCGATAGCCCATGCCACAACTGCCCAAAAAATTCAAATTAAAGTGAAATTCAACAAATGCCCCTAGGTTTAAATAACCAAAAGAATATCCCTTGTATTTTTTGAATCATCAAGAAAGTATTATCTATGTCGAATTCTAGTCAAATTGATAAGGTAAAAAGACCAAGCTGCCACCTTAATTAATGAATAAGTGAATCTATCCGACTTGACATTGGATAGTTTCGATATGGATCTTAGCACTTGCACTATTTCATACAGAATTGTCTGGCCAAAGGGCACTTTTGCCATTGTCATAAAGGAAGTCAGTAAATTTGACCATAATTTAATTGTGGGGAATAACTTTAAGCATAAAATGTTGTCCACACTATTAAGCTATTTATTCTCTTATAATTTGTCAGCAAAAATAATCTAATTTTTAGAAATATATTTCGTTTAAAAAATCAGTATATTTTCTTTTCTTGAAAAAAAAAAAATAATGCAAGTTAGTAAACATAATAACAGGTGGTTGCTTCATATCATACAACTGATTAAGATGCATGTGTTGGTGAGTACCTTGAATTTACGACAAAGATTAGCGTCGCTCCAATGTCGTTCATCCAAATCAGATGAATCAGAAGTGCGATCATCCCTCCAAACAACGGCTGTGATTGAGGAAGTGAAAACTACTTTCTCAATTGTATCTGTCTGAGCACATGCTTCAAGCACATTGTGTGCTGCTCTTACCTCCACATCCGTCATGAATTCCTAGACCACAAATATTTATGAAAAGTCAATACCGTTATTTTTCTTTACCTACTTCAATAACAGTAAAAATATTATAACGTAATAAATGTCAACTTCATATTCTAAAAATAAAAATGTCAACTTCAAGAATCACTTATTTGTAACCAAACGCGCCCTAAATGCTTAATATTGAATGGTATTTTGTCATTAGAAAAAAATTGAATAGTATTTTCTTGGTTTTGTAGTAACAAATTAGACTCTTCCTTTTCTATTCTTTATGATAATTAAAGTCCGTGGAAAAAATGATTTATAGTTACGTTTGTAGAAGGCAATAGTAGCAATTAGTTTTCCCTTTTTTTCAAAAAGAAAAATAAGTTATACTGGTCCCCTTTTTTAGAAATTTAGAATATTTTTGGCAGTTGGCACTATCTGAGAGGCTCCGCGAGGCCCAACTCCATAAGAAATAGCAACCGGGCCCTTCAAAATCGATGGTAATCAATAGTTTTGGTGCACCACAAGTAAACTTATGCTAAACAAGTTGTGAGTTACTGATTGTCTTTGAAGCGTTTTACAAGTTTGGTGGGGTTATTTTAAAGGTTGTTCATACAAGTTCACGAAATTTTTAATAAAACATAAAATAACAAATAAGTTCAAGATATCATTCATCGGGCATTTGGAATTAGTATCGTCCTAGATCGCTTAGTTAAAGACGTGTTTTATAAATGATAAAAAATTGAAAATTAATTGGTATATATATGGTCTACGAAATACAAATTACGAAATGAAAAAACAAGGGCAAATCAAAAAAATATATATAAAAAAAATAACAAAACCTACTAATTAGAGTTTTTGTCCCAAAAAAAGGACCCCTCAATTTTAAACTAGAAATTTAAGCAAATATACATATATATATATATATATATGTATATATATATATATAACGATAAAGTCAATGATATGACTAGAATACTGGTAGGGTGTAGAGTTGTAAGTTTTCACCGGACTAAACAGGCTAGTCCTAAACCTATTATTATAACTTGATCTAGGCACAACCCAACCCGCTTTAATATTTGGACTCTATAGATTTGATTGATAGTTTAAACCTAAAAATGTTTTTGGACATGGTTGGATCGGTCTCTTTTACTTTTTTTTTTTATAAAAAAAAAAAAAAAAAAAAAAATAATTTTTTAAAAAAAAAAAAAAAAAAAAAATTACCCTTAAAATGTTCAAACCGACCAGATCAAAACTCTTTTTAGATCACGGATTACAGGGTGGTTGGCCTGAACTTTCACCCTTAGTGGGGGTGGGGTCAACCAATCAAGTATAATTTTCTGGTCAATCTTGGTTCCTTTTAACGTTGTGTCCATCTACCAAGGTAGCTAACAGCCATCACATTCAAGTACAAGCAAGGCCGAAATAGAAAAATGTCTATATTGAACCGACCACCCCGCGCGCTGGAGTAATTGACTTGGACTAAAGAAAAGTAAGCGAGTTGAAATTATATGATCCAAGAAATAACAACATGCAATCGTATGAATATGCTTGAATATGTATCCACTTAGTATTGATCAATACTTACTTAGGACATACCTTATCTGAAATATAACATCTATGTAATATATATATATATATATATATATATTCATCACATGCACGTATTATTTTTTTTTCTTTTTATGATTACTATGCAGGAACTAATTGGTCTAGCTAGGTAGCTAGTAGTAAATAGTAACATGTAAATGGAAGACCTACACAAAGATAGTGTGTAATTGAACCGAAACCGCTAGCTGATGATGACCATGACAGTTGACAGCTAATATTTAGCATCTTTATTTCTAGATTAGATATGAAAGTAGCACATGTATTTATGTTGCAAGTTGGAACCACAGTACAATTTTTGCTTTTTTTTTTTTTTTTTTTTTTTTAATTTTTTTTTTTTTTTTTTTTTTTTTTTCTTATTATTTTTTTTATTCATAATATATCAACAAAAACTAGCCACAATCATAAATTTAAAATTATGATTCAAAATTATGATTCAGAATCATTCTCAATTTACGTGTGTTTTTTATAAAAAAAAATACTGTAACGAATCACGAACCATGATTCGAATCAAGATACGAATTCACCAACCAAACAACCCAGCTTCAAAGGTCATGGTTAACAACAACATAAAGTTAGATAATTAGAAAAAAGAAAAATATGTTTACTTACATCATAAGTGGGTTGATCTTGTGGAGGCTCAAATGTGTAGAACAAGCCTGAACAGCCTCTCAAAGCACCAATTATGCTTTGGTAATCAAAAGGGTCCGAGTGGAAAACCTTCAACTTCTTATTCTCATCACAACAAATCCCATCCAAGTACTTCAAATCATGATCATCACCTAAGACATATATGATCATTATCATAAGATTAATAGCAAAATACATAACACACATATATACATTAATATATATATATATATGAGTTATAATATTTAAAAAGAAAAAAGATCAAAATTCAAACCATGGTTTTGACCACTTTGAACAACGGCATGAACTGTATAGCCCCTTTGGAGCAAACGCTCAACAAGGCTCGACCCTAGCTCCCCTGAGGCGTCCATTACACAGACTGTTGATGATGCCATTTTGGAGAGAGAAAGTTTCTGCCTTTTGAGTAGAGAGAGAGAGAGAGAGAGAGAGAGAGCAAAGAAAAAAAAAACGGGAGGGTTGGGAAGATGGTTGTGAATTGTGTGACGAGTTTCTTTAAGTGAATATTTAAAGTCTTTGTTTGAGAAGACAAAAGTGAAGAAGACTAAAAAAGGGGGAGTAGTGTATAAATAAGGATAATATTGAAGGGCTGATGCCATTCAAAGAGCATGGGAGGTAGATATGGTTGGGAGGTAGTTGTTGTTAGAAATATAAATATATATATATATATATATATACACACACACATATATACATATATGTTAAACAAAGATTTTAAAAAAATAAAATCAAATAAAAATCAAATAAAGAAGAGAAGAAAACGATCGAAGAGGGCAATTTTGACGAGCTAGTGACAGTTGACGAAACATTGATTGCCAAAGGGTTCGGTGAGAACGTGTGGCATTAATGATAATATATTACTGCCACACAAGCGTCCAGACTAGCTACAACTTTTTACTTACAACCTGGCTTGGCTGCTAAGCACAAAAATTTGTTTCTTTCTATTTTCCCTCTTTTTTTTTTTTGGGTGTTTTGGTATTTTCCACCTGCACCTCGTACGATTTTGTTCAATATATTGTACAAGTAGAACCAAGTCCACATCTACATATTATATCTAAATATATATAAATACAGATATCTATATATATATATAGAGAGAGAGAGAGAGAGAGAGAGAGAGAGAGAGGATGTATAGGATTCTTTGGCTTATATTTTCTTCAGAATTATATCTCGGCAAGATTTTCAAATTTGGATACTTTTTTGGCAATCTTATTTGACTTAAGCTTTTCAACTCCACACACAGATTTTCGATTTAAGAATGTGAAATTGAATAGACTCATTCTTTAACTTGTTTTCTAAAACAATCTGATATTAATTGTAAATTTATTCTACTTCACCAAAAATAAAAAATGTAACTGTTGTATTTTAATGACAATACATAGTCAACAACATGTGCCATAAAGTATTGCTTGATCCTTAAAATAAATATGTAATAATTGTTGCTTACGTACTCTTGATTAATGAGATAGTAAGTAAACATACTTTTCTAAATGTACAATCTTGACTAAAATATTTAAGCCACACTGGTCCTAGTAAACTTATCATCTCTGATTATCAAACTTCTTAATTAATGTCGTTTGACAGATAAGTTTGATTTTGTACCGATCGACACTCTTCTCTATACCCAAAAAAAAAAAAATGAAGAACCAATTTTCTATGCTTATTATATACTAGCTTATACGCCACCTAAATTCCAAAAAAGAAAAAAAAGAAAGAAGAGAGAGAATGACTTTATTAACGAAGAAAAAAGAAAATGAAGCAACATATAATAAAGTAAACGAACCACATTGAAAGAAATAAAAAATAAAAAATAAAAAAAACTGTAGCCAGAATAGACTTCTATATATTTAGGGAGAAAATTGAACATTGCGTGCAAATTAATATATACTCAAGAACCGCAATAGGACATTATTCCAGAGAACCAAAAAACAAACAGAAACTCAAATAATATACTTAATACATGCATGGGGAAATAAATTTGCATTATACATGGAACAAAGCAAGGCTAGAATTTGAGCCAAAAAAAAAATAAACGCAAGAATTAGCATATGAGTGTAGCTTATTGGTAAGACATGCTCTGCTCTTAAATCCCTTACCTGTTAGTATAAGACTTGGTAGCATAACTGCCATGCCATAAGGATATTGCTCCGAAATTGAAATGATGCTTTTATACGCAATTCTGAGCTAATGAATTGATGTATTTCTTTAATCCTTCATTCTTCTTTGTCGTCGCATATTTGCTTTTTTGTCGTGGTTGGTGGTCTTGATGTTATGTATTAGATGCCGCGACGGAATAAGGATGACGTGACTTTTTACGGGTCTGAAAAACAAAAATATGCTCTGCTAACACACCTTGCTGATTACAATAAGAACAACAACTGCCGTCAACCGGAAGCGGCATACTGGGAACAATTGGCCAACGATTTATCCCCGTTGTTTTCCTCCCCTATTCCTCCAGAGGCCAAGGAAAGATTGAAAAAGAAATTCAACGCAGAGCTTGCCCCTTCGCACGAACACCAGCCTCGGATGGATCCCGTGAAGAATTGCCTTACTTCTGCGAGGTCAGTACTTTATTATTTACTTCATCATTTCAAGGTTGTAGCGGAAAACAAGTTAGCTGTATTTCATTTCTTTTACGTATTCAACAGACATATAAGTCGGCAAAGCGTGCACATAAAGACCCTTTAAAAAATTATGAGCTCTACTACGAAACCTTTGTAAGTAGGCGTGCACGTGGTGCCTTCAAAACATGCATGAACGAGAATGAAGAGGAAAATGACACTTCTCAGCCGCAAATGCATGAGGGTTACGTAGTTGGCGGCACCTCTCAGTCTCTAGATGGTGAGGAAGGATTTCTTAGAACAATACGAGGGGCTCCAAACTCCTAAGGTCGCCCATTAAACATTGCCTCTTCCTTGCGGCCAATTTTGAAGTGACCAAGCAAAAGTGGAGGAAGAATGATTGCTCTAGAAGTGAAATTGCTTTTGAAAAGTATAGCCACTACACTTGAAAGTTGACAGAATAGCCGAGGCACAATTTCCAGTGCTACTTAGCCTGTTGCAATGCCGAATACAACTTTCAAGCAGTGTCAGTAAATTATTAGTGAGATGTTGCTTGACGATGAACAAGTTATCTCTTTCACTGAGTACTTAAATTGGAACCCAACATGTCAGGCCATGTTCTTAGGCTTGAAAGAAAGTCGAAGGCTTGTATACGCTTTGAAAACGTTGATGTCTTTGGCCAATCAGCCAACCCCTTCGTTACAGCCATAATTTCCCCTCTTTATGAACCCCGCTGCTCCATTTATGAGTTCCCAAACCTATTTTATGCCTCCACAGCAAAATTTCCCACACCATCATGCACCTTTCCCCCAACGAGGCCCAAATTTTAACCAACAACCACCCATTTTCCAACAATCTACTCAAAATTTCCAACAAGGCACTCCTAACTTCCATCACTCCCCACAATATTATATGGATAGTCAATTCTCCAACTTTTCAGGAAAATTTAGTGGAGAAGGGAGTGACGATGTTGTGTAACCGCAGCTTAGTGATTGTTATTTTTGTTGAGTCATTTCTTTTCTCATGTCTTTTATGGAAACCCTTTTTAATTTTTTCCAACCGGTAGCTATCATTGATTTAAGACCGGCTTAGATGTATTATGATGTCTTATGAGTGTTTTTTATTGTGTTGTGTTATTGAATTAAGACTTCGACTCTATGTAATAAGTCTTAATTTCCAGCTATGGGCTTTCGCTACAATTACTTAATTTGTACTATGAACTCGGTTCTTAATGAGATGTTTTTCCATTTTATATTTTATGGATTTGCGTAAGAATGTGTTACTCCTCTGTAGGTAACTTACTGGTCTTTGTTTAATCATTTGGAGTTGTTATGGTTTATTTGCCTCGCATTCTTATTACTACATTCTTTATAATGTGTTAGTATTCTTAAGGTAACCTGTTTTCTTTTGTTTAAACATTTTAAGTTGTTCCGAAACTTTTGCATGTTAGTGTTACTCTCACTAATCACGTTGTTGTATTCATATTGCATATTAGTACATATATCAAATATATTAGTGACAGGAAAAATTGGAGTGACAGACCATCAAATGCAGGAAACAATAGGCCAGATGATTATGACTCTGAGGATGATTACACTCTTGGTGTTGCCGCAGTTGCGGTATTCCGTACCGCTTACTTGGAAAGACCACTTTCAACACCTAAAAATAATAGTCATTACACATGTATGCAATGGCTTAGTGACTTGCTAAATGGACATGAACTCATCATATACAATAAGATCAGGATGGGGAGCCATTGCTTTAAGCGTTTGAGTTTGTTAATCCAACCGAAGAATTTACTGAGAAGCACTTGAAATATAAGCGTTGAAGAGCAACTGATTATATTCATGACAATTGTATGTCAAAGCAAAAATAACAAGGAGATACAACATCAATGGCAACACTCGAGAGATACAATTTCAAAGTATTTCATGATAGTCTTGAATGCCATATATCGTCTACGGCATGATTTTATTCAGCCCCCAGACTTTAACTCTATTGGTCCATTCATTGAGGCAAGTGGGAGCAAGTGTAGACCATGGTTTGATGTAAGTCTCAAAATTTTATTTATCATTTTAGCTTAACATTATTTACTTGCAAGATATTGTGTGTAATATTAATATCTTTACTCTTCGCAGAATTGTGTTGGTGCCCTCGATGGGATGCACGTTTCATGTGTTCCTCAACCTGAGAATGCTGAGGTCTGGAGAAATAGGAAAGGATTTTCGTTACAAAATATTTTGGGTGTGTGTTTCTTTGACATAAAGTTCACTTACATGCTTACCGGGTGGGAGGGCTCTGCGCACAACGCCCAAGTGCTTGAATCTGCACTAGGTACGCCAGAAAAAAAATGTACAGTCCCTCCAGCAGGTAAGCAAACGTCTACTTATTGCTAATAGACACGTCTTTCACCCGTTTGTGGTTGTAACATTGTTACAAGTTGGAATTAACGTGTCTTTGTAAAATTATGTAGGCAAATTTTATTTAGTAGACTCCGATTACACAAACACAAGTGTTTTCCTAGCACCATATCGTGGTAGTACATATCACTTGCAAGAGTATATGGCATGACGGCACGTCGAGGTCAACCTCGCAGTGAGTGGGAGTTATTCAACTACACCTATTCATCGTTTAGGAATTGTATCGAGCAAACGTTTGGGGTGTGGAAGGTAAGATTCTACATTCTAAAGATAATCAACAACTACCCGATGCAAAAACATTTGAAAATACTTATTGCTTATGTTGTCTTACATAACTTCATACACATGTATCAACATGATGACAGTTTCATCAACCAATACTTTCAAGATGGGGTACCGGTAAGTGAAATTGACCATGACAATGCGGATGAAGATGTTAATCAAAATCATAACCCGGATCGGGGAACTGAAGGACTGAGAAACGCAGCTAATCACAGACAAATGGGTATTTTAAGGGATGAAATGGCGATGACCATATGGCAGGCTCAAGGAGAAAAGAATAATGGCTAGTTAGACATCTACATCAGTTATTCAATATTGAACCATTTTATTGTGTAACAGGATATAATTGATGTTTGGA